AGAGAGAGAGAGAGAGAGAGAGAGAGAGAGAGAGAGAGAGAGAGAGATCTTAGAAAACAAAATAAAAACCCCTTTATGGAGCTAGGAAGCAATATCTTTGCAACAATGAGAAACTATAAAAAATCTTCTCTGATTGCTAGTCTTGAAACAATAATTTGCCGAAGCTCAGAAACAAGGAATCAAGACATGACAAGAAATTCCATTAACGAGGAATACGATTTCTCATAATGTCTGCAGGGTTTCGGTATTACCAATGGAAATACTCCTTTTTTTTGCCATATTAAAAACACAACATTTGAAATAAGTGAGTTCAGCTTCTGAAGCAAAGATTAGCTTGAGAATACACAGTACCATAGTTGATTCTGTCCAGGGCAAAGGCATTGTGTAAAAGGGTCAATAATTAAATTAATCCAGACATTAGTTCACAAAGTGTGTGTCAACCCTGAAGCTGGCCTGACCGAAGCCATTTTTTACTGCTTCAGTGTTGCGCACCCTGATAGTGTGTTCTTGTGCTCTTTAATTAACTTGGACATTGATATGACTATTATGTGACATTGACCCTATATTGTTATTCATTAATCTTCATATACTTTGTAGGAGAGAGCTGTTTTTAGACTATGGCAGCCAAAACCCAGGAGATGTCTGGTAGCATTTTTTCAGATTAACAAACTGAATTGAAAAGCATACATTTTTTGAGCTCATTCTGATTCATGAATCTTTGCTGTTAGTCATATCTAGAATCTTAGGGTTAGAACAACTGATTATCAACAGGTACATATAATGAAACATATAGCTACTTTCTCGAGGAAAATAACAGCTTTGAGAAGGTTATAAGGATGAAAAACAATGAGGGAGGGGAGAAATTATCCTTGTCCTTCCTTCAAATTCATCTGGGGAGAGCCAAGTTGAAGTTTAGAAGTTAGGAGAAAAGATTAAGAGTCATCCTTGCTCATAGTCTAACTTCTACACGTTTTGATCAGAGTGTTAGAAAAAGATTTATTACAACTATGTGCATGATGGATAGCTAGCACTCAAAATGCATTTTCTGTTGAAAGCGTTGATCCCTGGCTGGATTTGTGTTATGGCTATTTTAAATCTGAGAGCTTGAGAATTTCTTCTTTTTTAAATTTTTCAAATACTGTTCCTCTAATAATAGCAGCTTAGTTGGAGAAGCTCTTTTTCTGAAGTACTTTTCAACCAGAAGATGGTTTGTTGCATTTTCAATCATTAATTTGTAATATCCTCTGGTTAAGAAAAGACAGCTTTTGAACCTCTGAAGAAAGTGGTAATAAAAAAGAAGTCTGCAGTTTCCTAAAAAATGTTTTATATTAGATTTATGCATATTAGCTTTGAACTTGTTTCAAATTTGGCTCTGAATATGTCCTCATATCTATAAAGGCAAGATGTTTACATGCCAGATCATAGCCATCGTTTTTTGGCTCTAATTTAATGTTCCACTACAAAACCTTTAACGCTGATTTAATATTATGTGACTTCCTTTTAATTAAGTTACTGATATATTTTAAAATACACATTCTAGAAATACCAAATCCATTTGTAACTATTACGATAAATGCTTGATTTTTTTAAAAAAATAACTCTATTTAGTCTCAAAAGAACTGACAGTTTGTTTTTTTGTTCTTTTCATTGCACTTACAGGCATAAATGACTTTAGCTATCTACATACAAATTGTTTTGAATTGTCTATATATGTTGGCTGTGATAAATACCCTCATGAAAGTGAATTACCAGAAGAATGGGAAAATAACCGGGAGTCACTTATTGTTTTCATGGAACAGGTAAGTAGCAAAACAATATGGTTGGTAAAGTTGGATCTGTTTCTAACGTAATTCTTAACAGGAATGGGTGAAATTTGTTGATCATAATTTCTTGCCAAAGGTGTTGTTTCTAGGAAACAGAAAGCAAAGATTTTATTTTAGTTTTCAAACAAGTGGACATTTCAGCCTCTGATGTGAATTAGCATTCTTCACTACTACTCACAAATACATAAATACATAAGAGGGAGGGACTTCCGGTTTGAGCTTCTTCGGCGACAGACCGAAACCTCGTCTCTCCGAGGCTTCGATCCGTGCTCACCACTGGAGCGCCCCGAGCCGGCTGGTTTCAGGGCTAAGCCACCCTGTAGAGGTGGTGAAGAGTGGGGAGACTGCCTGCATCTCTCCTCCCCAGCTGCCCATTACTCCCTTTCCCGAAGGCGGTTGTAGTGGTGGTCAGAAATGGCCACCACAAAGAAGAACTCGACCAGAAAAGAATGTGCAGGAGGAAGATAAGAAGAGAAAGTTTTGGTTGACCGGGTCAAACAGCAAAAGCAACAAATAAGGTACCCTGGAATTTAAACTTAACAACATTGTTCCCAAAGAAGATTTTGAAGCTGCGAAGGAGAGAGAGAAGGGAAAGGATTAGGTTTTTTTTCTTCCCTTCCTTATACTGACAGCTAAGAGACTTAAGCAAGAAACTGAAAAAAAAAATCCACTTTGACATTAATAGGCATCTAAGCTGAAAATAAAAGTCAAAGGGATAAATAAAGATTTCTGGACATTTAAAAGTTTTTAAAAGCTGGAAAGGAGAAAAAAAAAAGAATAGAAGGGCTCTGGAAAAATGGAGGAGACTGCCTGGAGTTAAGGAATGGAACTGTAATTAAAAGGAACTTACAGTGAAATTTTAACAAGATTCCTCAAAGATACATTTTAATGGAAACTTGGTAACAAAATAATAGAACCCCAGGAAGAGAAAGTGGAAAAAAGAAGCAAGTAGAAACAGCCTTGGATTATTTGGATTACTTGGTGATTTTGGGTTTTTTCATCTAGATGACTAAAATTAACTGGGTGGTTGTTTAAAAGTTTTTAAAATGGTATCACTCTTAGAAGAACTGAAAACGGAACTTAAAAAATGGAAAGAAGATGCACAAGAAGGGAGAAATTCTTTTGGCTTCGTGTTTCAATTCTTAGAAATGGAGATCTGGAACTATGAGAAGCAACAAGAAACGCTTGCAGAACAAGAAGATTGGGACAAAAAAGAAGCCACCTTTAATGATCAAATAATTTTAAGTGGGGGGAAAAAAGAAAAGGGGGGAAAGAGTGAAAGGTTTAAGATTAGAAAAAGCAACCAAAAAGTAGAAGAACAATTTGAAAGATAAGTATAATATTAGAAAGCAACAGAAGAGGGGATTACAGATGAGAGAGTTAGAAGTAGAGAGATGAAGGGGTAAAGGGGGGAGGGAGAAGAAGAGGGGGAAGAAGGCAAGGAAAAGAAGTTGTAAAAGACAGAAACAAGAAATGGAGAAACAGGGAAAAGATGTAAGGATTGTAACCATAAGTTTGTTTAGAGATAATGGGTGAAAATTTAATTGTAAAAGGGATTCTGCAAAGGTACATAAGATAGCTTTGTTATATTACAAATAGAAATAACTTTAGAAAATATGATGATGGATAAAATATTTATTGTAATGCAGTGGGATATTTGTTAATAAATAAATGGATTAAAATGATTGAGAGAATTAAAAGGGAACATTTTTAATTATTAGAAATGATTTATAAAAATATAAGTGAGAAATATGGGGAAAAAAAGAATTAACTATGGAAAGTTTATAAGTGTTCCCAAGGAAGTATGATATTCAACTGAAAAGAAATGTTAAAGATGTTAAGATTTTAATGCCTATTAATGATAGAATTGAATTGGAATGAAATGTGTTTTATTTACATATATATATATAATTTTTTCTTTTTAAGAATATAGTGTGTATTTTAAGAATGTACCAAGCAGAATTCAATTGGAAGTTATGTATTATATTGAATGCTATAATCATAAAGCTATACATTGAAGCTTAAATAAGAGCTTGAATGGATAAAATTAAAGGATATAAAGGTGTCATACTCTAATTGGTAACTACAGGGAAAAAATTGTTTAATAAGAAAAGATAATGTGAAATTGTAACAGGACAGACAAAAGTATAAATATAATGATTTGAATTGAGATAATCAAAACAAAGTTGAGAAAATTAGAAGAGGGGAAAAACTATGTAGAAAATATAAAATGGTAATAAGATATGGAATAGAATATAAAAATGAGCATGAAATTGAGTTTTGTGTCTGTATGAAGAAGATAACCTGGGACCATGCTATTTTCAAAAAAGATGTTTTATTTGTATTTTGTTTTTGTGAAAACCCAAATAAAATTTTCAAAAAAAAAAAAAAAAAACATAAGAGGGAAAATGCTTCCATAACCAGTTCTGCTAGACATCATTATTTTTTTTAAATAGCTCATGGATACCTTATTGTGCATTAAATAAAAAAAGTATTTGGATTTCGGCTATGGATAAACACTTCATGTTTTGAATGATCTGTCATAGAGGACAGTAGGAATTCAAAACAAGCTCTTTGTTCTCTTATTTTTTTCACCCTGGTAAGTATATTATTATTAAGCCCATCTTAATAATAATGCACATTATCCAACCTACACAGAAATGTTGCTAAAGAGCTATTTTTTATGGCATATTTAAAATCCTGCAGGAAGCAAAATTTTAAATAGGCTATTTTCCCCAGTTTGTGGTTATAGCCACAGAAACCTTAACAAAAAGCAATACACAGCTTCATTTTCTTGAACACTTCCCATAAACAATGGCACAAAATCTATATTTTTTCTGGTTGCTGGCTGAAGAACTTTTCCTAACACACTGCACAATGGTTGTATCTGCATTTGATGAGATGTCAGCAATTTTCAACAAATTAAAGCCACATTGCCTTTAGCACACAGCTTGAAAACTATTATTAATAAATAAAAGTGTAGACAATACACACACCACAACCCAACAAAAAAACAATACAGAACCTGTCCTCGTTTGCTCTTTTACCCAGGAATGTAAAAGACCGTTTCTGCACTTTATCATGACATAATAATAGTCTGATGAAGCCAGCCTTCTGTTTTGGTCACATGTCCTACTTCATCTCATCCTCAGTTCATTAGGAAACCAATCCATCAGTCAGAATAGAGTTGGAAGGGATCTTGAAGGCCTTCTAGTCCCGACCCTGGTCAAGCAAGAGCCCTATTTGAGATAAGAGGCTGTCCAGTCTCTTCTTAAAAGCCTCCAGTGATGAAGCACCCACAATTTCTGAAGGCAAACTATCCCACTGTCCTCACTGTTAGAAAGTTTCTCCTTAATTCCAGGTTGCACTCTCCTTGATTAGTTGCCATCCATTGTTTCTTGTCTTGCCTTCTGGTGCTTTGGAAAATAAGTGGACACCCTCATCTTTGTGGCAGCCCGTCAAATACTGGAATACTGCTTTAGTTGGGCTAGTGCCAGCTGGAGAAGGAAATTCATCTATGTGATAATTCACATCAAATAGGCAAATTTTCTTCTTCAGCTGGCACTATCCCACCATAGCTTCAAGGTGTACAAAATAAAAATAAAATAATAGCTTGTCCCTTTGGAGGCAGCATCACCTGGACTTCTGTGAAAATGATTAGAGTTGTCACTAGCCAATTTCCTCCACTGCCATTCCTCTCCTCGCTATTCAGACCAATTAGTGAGGAAAGACTCAGAGATATCAGTAGGAAGCAAACTGAGGTGCTATGTGATTGCAGCCCCCATGGGCTGCACTTCCTGAGACAGGTCTTCATATATACAGCTCTATATAAGTAGTGCTGAACAATTTTATGCTCATTGGTAAGGAACAGAATCACAAGTGTAAACTGCAGCAAATTGTCACAATATAAAACCCTGCTGTTGCAAATCCTCTATTTTTCCAACCTTTACAAGGAATTATTGCTGGTTTTTTTCTCATCAGCAATCACGTTGCATTCCATGGCAACTAAGAATCTCAATCATCACTTTTTTGATTTGCTTCTTTTTTTTAAGTTCACACTTCCCTGATGGCTGCATAAGCAATGACAAAATGAAGTATCTTTTGAGCTGAGTCATTCTGCTGATTACGTGGAAATCTATGTAGTTTTCTTTGCAGCAGTGGGATGTGATTCGCTCTTATGTGCTTCTGTTATTCCTTTCCTTAATTAGCAGTCTAGCTTGCAGCTAGAACTTCATGATCTCCCATTTAAGTGTTAAATAGGTATAACCTAGTTTAGACTGAATATTTGAATCTATTAGCTCCTGGCAGTGAATTATAATAAACAATGGGCTTAAAGTTTAGAGACTAAATGTGAGAAAGAGAAGGGTTTGTTTTTCTTAACCACAACTTGTTCTCTGCTGCTTGCTTGTTCCTCATGTAATCCTTATGATTTTGGAGAGTTATCCGTGTTCTTGTTTGCTTGGTGATGCTTTCCCAGAGAAATGTTAAATATACTCAGTTTGTATTGGCATGAATGAAAAATTTGAGCCTTCAAAAGTAGTATCAAATTATTTTCTTCCCCTCTGTCATCGCCCCACCCCCAGAATGGAGCTATTTTAGTTCAGACAAAAAAAAACTATTTTCTATAAAGAATCTAACCAGTACCTTGAAGTGGGTTTAATAGCTTCTTATATCTCTGACCTTGGCAATATTTTTAAGATGATGGTTCAAAGCTGGTACAGAATATACAAACAGCAATTTATCTGCTTATCTATATATATTTAAATCATTATTTTATAGTTCAATCTTTCATAATAAGTTGAACTAGGGAGGAAACTCAGGATCAAATTCTATTAACTCAGTAACAAGTTATTTAATGGCAAATCATTACAGCAGACCTGTAAATGTGAAGTTGAATGACTTACATTATATCCCTATTATGTTCCAAACATAATATAATGCAGGTCATTCTATTATTAATAAGAGTTTGAATGATATATTCAATACGGCTATGCAAATTCACAGTTCAAGGCTACAAAATCTTTGAAACAGTGAATGTTACTTGCAGTCTTTTTAAATGTTTCCCAAATTCCATGTTGCTTCTTACTTCTGAACTTGTTGTTATTATTATTATTAATTGCAGTTGGTCGCATAGCTAGCCAGATGTTTAGACTGGATCTGACAGTTTTGCTTACCTATTGACTCCTTTCCAAGAACATGGGATGGCAAATGGCATTATTATTATTATTGTGCCTTCTAATCCCTGTAGTTTTCATGGCAAGATTTTTTTAAAAAACATTTCCTATTGCATTCTTAGTATTCTGAGACAGGGTATCACTGGCCCAAAATCATCCAAGTGACTTCATGCCCAAGACAAGATTAGAGCCCTCAGCCTCATGGTTTCTAGCCTGGTGCCTTACTCTCTTTAACATTTCAGGTGTCCCATTAAAATAAAGTCAAGATGGATTTGCAAAGATTGAACATGTGACCTTGATGGAAACTTGTGAAGCACATACATCCCATTCTCACAAATCTTCAGCATTATTACCAGGGGTGGGATTCCATCAGATCGCACCTATTCACTAGAACTAGTTGTTAACATTCTAAGCAGTATGGAGAACCGGTTGTTAGAAGAAATTACTGGCCTAATCCTGTAAGGAAGGCAGGAAGGAAACATTCTGGTATTGCTTACAGAAACTACCTCTCCATTAACCCTTATTACATTCTTGGCAGGACTAGACTTCCTGTCTCAGGAACTTCTCTGGAGTTTTTTTCTCCTCCTTTGCTTGTGTGGAGTGACCATTCAAAGTTACAATGGCACTGAAAAAAGTGACTTATGACCATTTTTCACACTTACGACTGTTGCAGCATCCCCACAGTCATGAGAGGCCAAGTGAGGAGATGCGTGCCTCAATGTGAGTGATATTGAGTTGGCCAAGCCAGCCAATAACATGACCACCAAGCCATGCCCACCAACTTAGCCACACCCACAGAACCGGTTGTTAAAAAATGTGAATCCCACCCCTGATTATTACCCCTGCTTTTCTACATATATACTCTCTTTTTCTATGCATCCATAGTTACATCCTCTGCCTATATTTGCATATGTTACTTTGCATCTCAGCTGCAAAAGAGCACCATTTTTTGCCTAGGTCTGAAATACTTTAGCAGGGGCTGGACTAAATGACATGTGGTGATCTGAAGCTATTCTTATAACACTACAAACTTTTCTTGGTAATCCTAAATTAGTATTCCTTATTACAGTTTTGAATGTAGCCCTTTTAGGAGATTGTGTATAGAATCCTCAGTTGTAAGTACATATGCAAGTTTAGTGGTAAATGGTACCGTCCCCCATACACATGCAGGCTGCATTGCATACCAGACCAATGAGATTCCACCCCCAAAAACATACAAACTACTGAAAGTGCCCTTGTAAGAAAACATTCACAGCAAGCTGAATTGAATGGGAGTAAAGAGAGAGTAGGATCAATCAGGATCATGTAGCCCAGTAAATCAAATTGTTTCTATCTACCTACCAAATCTCAAAGATAGTATGGCTAGCTTGCTGACCTAACAGGAAGGAACAAATAATAACAAGCCAGGCATACAGGTTTGTCTAAAATATTCCAATGTCACACTGTGATTTCCAAGGTGGTTCATCCATTTGATTTCTCAGTATTTTGTTTTCCTCTAAAATAGGACTAATGTCAAATTTTCTGAAGCTGTTTATTCATTGGGGACCTCCTAAACCTTGAGATGATAATTATGATGATGATGGAGAGGATGTGGGCATTTGTTATAACTGCTCATGCCAAAGACTCTTTTCCTTTTATATAAAGATTAAATGAGGGAAACTTGCTAAATTTGTTTAAAGTCATTAGCCCATAGTAAATTATTCAGCTTTGAAAAACAGTCATCAGCATGTAATTCCTTTTTGTATTGATGCTGATCCTTATTTGTCCTCATTATTTCACCATCAGGTGCATCGTGGAATTAAAGGCATAGTCAGAGATCAACATGGGAAGGGAATTCCAAATGCAATTATTTCCATAGAAGGGGTGAACCATGATGTCCGCACAGGTAAATACACATTTTTGTTATAAAAAGAAAATGAAAAAAGGATAACAAAACAGCCAACATTGATTTACACAGACCAGTTCTCAGGCAGTCCTTGAGTATTGAAGATTTGTCCTGAAATGAATACAAACTCCAGTTCCTTTGTAGTGCAATGATGGTTTATTCATTAGTTCAGCAAACAACAAATACTCTTCTCTGACGAGAAAGGCTAAAAGCCAGGCAAGGCTAGATTTGGATTTGAGTTTGCTCCCTTTCCTTTTATTACCATTATCATGACCCACCACACTCAGGCCTATATACAGTTCTAATCCTGCCAATTATCCCTAAATACTATTAACCCTATAACATGGCTACATCCCTACCCTATTCTGACCCTCACTAACTGATCCCCACCTGGTGCCACCTTCACCATGTTTTAACCTAAGGCTTAATTACCACCTGTATGTGCCCCAACTTCCTTTGACAATATGCACCACATCAATACATGAAAAGAGCCATTTCCAGCAGCCCCGCAGTTGTTTCAGAATCCATCCTCCATCTCTGCAGTTGTTGTAGAATCCATCCTCAGCTCTGCTGAGTCATTCCAAAGCCAATGGCCAGCACACAAGCAGAAATACAGATCCAGCAGCAGCAGAGATAAGGTGACATGGCCAGCTGACTTGCTACGATGCATATTCAGAGCTGATGGGCTCCAAGTTCACTCGGGGCCTGACACCAGTTTTATTAAGGGATCATTTAACTAATTGAGGCCAAGGCGGTATAACGGACAATAGCCCAAATGTTTGAACATCAATCTAGTGGCATGCACAAACCTGTCAAGTTAAGTAGCCCTATCCTTGCCAGCCCAACAAGTTAGACCAGTTTATTAAACCAATGCCATATTAGTCAGGACAACTTTTATTGCAACAATTATAGCAACATAATCTTGAAAGTCTCCTTCCTTTCCTTATCTTATTTTTTTTTAGCTAGGAGAGGCTTGTCAGAGATGTTTTCTCACTTTTTTTGGCCCAGACTCAAGTCCCTCTTATCAAATCATTGCCTTAATAGCAGCTCTTCCTCCTACCATCAAGACAATTGTCACTGCTGCCAGACTCCACAAGCTCCAAAGGCTGATAGTCTCTGATAGTCCTGGCCCCATCCCTGCATCAGACACAGGCCCCTTGTCCAGGTCCTCGCCAAGCCTCCCTGACTGGTTCCCTTTCATCCTCGCTGTCAAAGACCACAGCCATCAGCACCTGCTGCCGGTGAACAACAACAAGGACTAATATCTCCTTATGGAAATTCGTGTCATATTGAATATCACTGAGAATTACATGTTTAACATACACAATACTGCTTCTTTTTGTATAGCAAAATTCATGATAGGTAAATGTTGCAAATGGAATCTATTTTTAATCTCACTGTCAAAATAATGCAACCCTCAGAAAAACATGTGTGTATATGTCTATTTGTATTATTATCACATATAAGTTAAAGATCCATAGTACCCAGATAGACATTAGATTTGCATCAATACGTATTCTTGCATATATTGTTTGTATCATAGGTCAATCATAGTTATTAGATTAGAATTTAGCTGCCCATCATGAAATTGCTTAGTATAATATTTCAGATGCAATTTTCAAAAATTTTAATGTCAGTTTCTATTTTAAAACATTTGTAACATCTGAAAACTTAGTAATTCACCTCATTATAGTGGTCCATCAACTGACTTTTTTTCAGGAAACAGAACCGAGAAAGACCACAACTGTATTCAGTCACACATATAGTTTGCAGATGAAACGTCAGGTTAGTTTTTCTGGTGTTGGAAAACTAGGAGCGGGGTATTCTCTGGATAATTTATCGTCACTTTGTATTAGCTCAGTTATGCCATTGGGTTATTACTGTGAAGATAAATTAAAGGAAATTTCATGTAAGATGTCAGAGAACAGGCAGGATAAATATTCATCAAGGAAAAACAACAGGATCATAGCTTGTCCTTTGCAATTGATCTCAAGGTATGTAACTGCTTTGTTTTAGTGCCTAGGATGTCAAATTTGTCACCCTAAAACCCTCTAGTCCAACAAATGGTTCCACTGGGAATGATAATCAAATTCTTTTGCTTCTGCCCAGAATGGGACATTTGTCCCTAGATAACTTGCCCCAGATGACTCACTGTGGACAACCTGCTGCAGAACAACTTACCATGGGAAAATTCAAGGTGGGACAACTCAAGAGAGGGACAACAGGGACTAGTGACTGCATGTTCTGGGTCACCCCAGCCTCGAGGACTTCTAACCGGATAAGATTCAGATCTAAAGCAAGACAAGTCCCAATGCAATTCACATGTTCCTCTCTTGAATTATCCTGCATTTAATTGTCTCTATCAGGGGAGGCTCCATTCAAAATCCAAAACCTTAGACTCCACTGTTTTAGAGAAAAGGACTTTTACTGAGAATTGATATGGTAGCACCAGGATAATACAAGATCTGAAGCAATAGGCATGAAAATCGCATATAGAAAGTTACCCCAAGTTCCCACACCCAATAATTAAAACTGGCCACCCAATCTGAGATGTGTATAATGTCATGTGGGGCATCTTCAGGTGGTGTTTCAGACATCTGGTATGCCAAGATGGTTGACCTTGGCAGGTAAGGGGTTACATCTGCGCAGTGAGTAAGTAAGCATAGTTAAGAAACATCCCAAACTTTACATTTCATCAACTCAAACCTCCAGCACTCTTCCCCGCACAAAGTCCAATTATTCTTCCCTCACCCCATTTCTATGGCAGCTGGAAAGATAAGCAGAAGAAGGATTCTTGGAAGCTGACAGTCCCATGGTGAGTTGGATGGAGAGTGGTATGGTAGCCTAGAGAGGGAGCTCTCGCCTCACAATCAGGAGCTGTGAGTTTGATCTTAGGTAGAAGCAGATATTTCTCTTTCTGGACACATTGAAAATATATCTGCTGAATATAACTCTGCATTGGTGATAGGAAGAGCATCTGGCCAATAAACATTCAGCTGCATTCAGACTCCACCCCGCAAGGGATTATGGAGTTGTTAAAAGGAGATGATGGTGAGTTGAGGGAAGTGAGTTGACTGCGGTGAGATAGATGGGGTGAGTTGGCCAGAGTGAATCAGCCATGGCGAGTTGTCCTACAACTCCTTCTGACTATAACCTGAGTTGATTTTTATTTCACATGGTGTCTTATCTTCCCTGTCCTTCATGAACAACAGACAAAAATGACCCAGACAAATATGCAGCATGTGTCATTTTGTTCACTGTGCAGGTGATTGCTTTAGGATTTTTCTAGACCGGGGTCCCCAACCCCTGGTCTGTGGACCAGCACTGGGGCGCAACATGCCAGAAACTGGGCTGCTCAAACAAGAGAACCCCCATCTGTGGGATACAGCCAGCATGTGAAACTACGCCCCCACTAATCCATGGGAAAACCTCTCTCCATGGAACTGGTCCCTGGTGCCTAAAAGGTTGGGGGGGGGGTACTGTTCTAGACACAGAATTTTTGACTGTCATCCTTTTAAAAAATAATCATTAAGTCTGCCTTACTATCTAGATATTGACTTCTTATCACTGAAATTGAAATATCCTTGGTAATAAAAGGTAGAAAACAGTTTTAACACTAGGAATTTAATTATTTATAGTTTAGCTCAATCTAGGCTCAGATTAGTTTAGCAAGAAGAAACAGAAGGAAAAAAAATCATCATATTGCAACATGGAGACCGATGCCTCAGCACTTCACATTGTCAGATAGATGGATTATTATAAAGGCATTCAAGGCATGTACACTGATCCTTGTGTGTACAAAATAATTTCTAAAAGCCTCTCATATATTCCCACTAGTTGCAGAAGGGAAAATATGAAACATATAGTTTAATAAAGTTACCTCAATATATATGATTGAGCTGCACACTAAAAGGTTTCTGAAATATTTCCAGGATTAAAAGCAACCCAGCCTGAGAAATAATTAATTCCTATACCAATTCTTAATAGCAATCCTAGAGCGATCATCAAATATTTAAGCAAAAGTAAGCCTTTCGATAAGGGGACGCGGTGGCTCAGTGGCTAAGATGCTGAGCCTGTTGATCAAAGGTCGGCAATTCGGTGGTTTGAATCCCTAGCACCACGTAACAGAGTGAAGTCTGATTACTTGTCCCAGGTTCTGCCAACCTAGCAGTTTGAAAGCATGTAAAAATACAAGTAGAAAAATAGGGACCATCTCGATGGGAAGATAACAGTGTTCCATGAGCTTTCAGCATTTAGTCATGCCTGCCACATGACCATGGAGATGTCTTCAGACAGTGCTGGCTTTTTGGCTTTGTAACAGAGATGAGCACCGCTCATATCCATTATAAAGGTGGCCCTTTGATTTCCCCTAGAGCCGGAAACAACTAGCCCATATGTGCGAGAGGAACTTTTATTTTTTTACATTTTACCTTTAAGCCTTTAGATATTTTTTTTTTTTTTAAAAAAAAAAACAAGATAGTACTGAAGGCAAATGTATTTCAATATTTCATTCTTCTTTGATTTCTCATCAGCAAACAATGGAGATTATTGGCGGCTTCTAAATCCAGGAGAATATGTGGTCAGCGTAAAATCCGAGGGCTACACCCAGTCTATGAAAAATTGTGCCGTAGGATATGACATAGGTGCAACCCAGTGTGATTTCACAATCAGCAAAACCAACTTGGCCCGAATAAAAGAGATAATGGAGAAATTTGGAAAGCAGCCAATGAGCCTCTCACTTCGACGGCTCAGACAACGAGCAAGGCAGAGACGCCAGCAATATAGACTGCTTTCTGCAATGTAACAAATAATGCTATCAAAACTCTACCTTTAAACTGAAACCCGCTCTTTTAGTAGAATATATAAATATTATATTTATATGGGTAAATATTTTTAATATGCCCTTTTTTATTCAAGTTACTGTTAAGAATTGTATCTTGAAGAATATTTTTGAATGCACCGTTCATTGTTTACATTTGTAAATTCTTGTGAAATTATTGGAATTAAGATACTGTCCTCTAGAAAGATACTATAAACTAAAAGGTATATATATATAGTATCTCTAATCCAAATGGAAAATATATATCACCAAAAGCCGGAAAGCAATCCAGACTGATAAATTAATGGATAATTGGCTTATTATGATTTTAAACAAAAACTTTTATGTAATGATGGTCTAACTTGTTATATTCTGATGAAGATTAAAATTACATCCAATTTACATTCAATCACAAAAAAAATGAAATCACTGCAAGTAGGATATTGATAGTGGACGTGCAACATTGTTGATTTATAACTTTAATTAGCTCTATTACTTTACTAATCTGCTTATGATAGTACACTAAATGCTCTGAATTATTACAGTTGATTTAAGTAAAGCAGTGAATAGCAATCACTGTGTATTTCCTAGTTAGTTGTTGGAATGTTTTTTGAGCTGTAATTACCCATTTTGTTTTTCAATAAATGAAACTTTTGTAATTGGCTAAATCTAATACAGCAGCCATTTTGTAAATACTGTTTGCAAATACCAGTATGTGGTAGCCATTCTATGTAAGGAAAAAATACTGCTCAGATGTGCTAGCATTTCTATCATTTAATATTTTGTTGTGGTCAGTTTGTTACTAGTAGTAGCTTTCCAGGATTTTAGGCTGGGGACTTTCTCGTCATCTACCATTTCCTTATCTTTTTAATTGAAGATCTCAGTTATTGAACCAAAGTCTTTTTTTCTAGGTGCTCCATTAAAACAATGGTGACACTTTTGTGTGGTATGTATAACTGTTGGAAAAAGAAATGACCTCTTTCTACTCTGACAAGGAACCTATCACATTCATGTTTTCAATATAGCTAGCAGTGGACTGAAGTTGGCTGGATTAAATGAGATGGTTATCATTTGAGAACTCCAACATCAGAGTGTGATTCTTTCCTGAAAAATGAACTAGCACATTACCACAGTTTATATGAGCCCTACAAAGACAGATAGATAACAGATGGACAGAGAGATAAGACAGATATGCATAGATTGAATACTTTCACATACAGTGTCTTCTTTATGGAATTTCTACATAGGAAACTACTTAAAATATACCCATTCAAAATATTTAAAATAGTAAAAAAATCCCTGGCTGAATCATTGTAAACAAACATTCTTGGCATCATATAATTTCTTGTATTCAAATATCTTTGCAAAAGGTTAGAATGTAGAATTAAATTGCTTTGTTTTCCTTTAACGTGTCAAGAGAGATTCTAAACAATAAAGCTGTGCCTGAAGGCAGTGAATCCATTATGCTTAATGCAATCGTGCAACCATGCAGATGTGAGTCAAGAATTCTAAGTGTCCAAAGACTTGTTCTCATTCAGGCAGGCTTTATCACCTAAATTCACTATCATTTGTCAGAATTTGTTACTAGTGGATTGCTGCCTTGTTCGGAAGGCATTTATTTAGTGTGGTATGTGAACTTAGATTTTTGTATAGACTGCTTCAATCATTTCTACTCATTCCCCTGACTCCTTTATCAGGTGTTTATCATATTTTATCATGAGGTGTACTGATTTAATGGATCAATGTCTTTATCAGCTCATCTAATGAATTTATCAGCCTTCTTGCTTAAGGAGATGGCTATGCACTGTGGAAATGTATATAAGCTGCAAAATATACTTACTTTCCTAATTTCACTAATCTCCACTGATCTTACCTCTATAAGTCAAAACAACTGAGATATCTCCCATTGCCCTTATATCAGCCTGGAAGTCTATTGTTTTATCTTTCTGCCCAACTTCCCTTTACTGAAGAATTCATGTGATGTTTTCAATTTTCTCTAAAAATAGTATGTGGAGATAAGAATGTCACCTTTACTTAAGTCCAGTCAACATATTATTATCCCATCCCATCAACTAGGAGTAAAATGCAATGTATTGACATATGCTAAAGATGAGTCACCTATATTTTCTTATATCTTTTGGGCTCTGTATATTAATCCCTGGTTTGTAATTAGTTGTCTGGATAAGATACAAGAGTTAACATTACCAATAAATGAAAAGAAGACAAGAAATTTACAAACCTTCAGATGTGATTATTATTGCAGATGTTATGGTCTATTTAGGTTGCTATGTTGCATTAAATACTTCAATATACTGCTAACCATCATACAAATTCTTAGATGTGAAATAAATGAGTACATTATGTTCATTTTTAAAATTATTTCTTTAAGTATCAATGTTTGTAATATATTGTATGATACTATATATTTCAGTGTCAACATTTTTTACACAGATTTAATGAGAAACAACAAAATTTCTTTTAAGGAATATACCGTATTTGCCGGCGTATAAGACGACTTTTTTGCCCTAAAAAACATGCCTCCAAGTGGGGGGGTCGTCTTATACGCCGGTAAATACATTGTCACTCGGTGCAAGAGCGACGGGGGCAGAGCTCCGCAACTTGCGAAGCCCCTTCAAGCCCAGCCGGAGTCTCTCTTCCTCCTCCTCCCACCCACCCACCCACCCTCCGCCCGGCTCGGGGCGCTTGCGGAGGCCAATCTGGAGGTGGGGTGGGGGTGGAGCGGGAGGGTCTCTGGCGGGGCCGCTTCGCCCAGCCAGCCCCGAGCCGCGTAATGGCCCAGGGAGTGGGGGGGGAGAAGGTGGTGGGGGTGGACTGTGGCGCCCCTCCTTCTGGGCAGCGGGGCGGGGGGCGGCAATTTGCTCCTCCCGCTTCTCCCTCCCTCTTTGAAAGACCGGGAGGGCTGTGCTTGGGGCGGGGGGGATGTCCTCAGGAAGTTCCTGATGGGACCCCGCTGGGCAGGGCCACCCAGCTCCCGAGCTGCTTTCCAGGGTCCCCTTGGGAAGAAAAGGGTCCGGTGGGCGGTGGAAGAAGGCGAGCGCCCTCCTCCCGCCCCCTGTCCCGTCCCGTCCCTCCTCTTGTCCCCTCCTCCCCTCCCCGCTTAAGAGAGAAAGATCTGCCTCCCCTGCACCGGCCAGCGCGCGCTTGCGACTTGGGAACCGGCCAAGCGACTTTAAAACCGAGCGGAGGCCAGAGATAGCTGGAATTACCCTCCACACCACACACACACACACACACACACACACACACACACACAGAGAGAGAGAGAGAGAGAGAGAGAGAGAGAGAGAGAGTGAGTTGGCAGCTGTCCATCCCCCACCCTTGGAGTCCCGATGGCACGCACGCGGGGGCTGTCACAAAGAAAGGGAGAGGAATTGAGTGCCAGCCTGAGAAAGGCGAAGCTGCCTCTCTAAAGCATTTTGGTGGCTTTGTAAGTTTGGGGGAAAGGGGTTGGGGGTGTCAATCAAGAATTATATCCAGAATACCCCAAGTGTTACAACTTACCGTATTTGCCGGCATATGAGACGACTTTTTTGCCTTGAAAAGCATGCCTCCAAGTGGGGGGGTCGTCTTATACGGCGAGTATATAACAAAAACTATATTTTGAGTGGAAATGTTGGGGGCTCGTCTTATACGCCCAGTCGTCTTATACGCCGGCAAATACGGTACTTATTCAAATACACATGAACCCCAAAGTGAAATCTGATGAAAGTACTGATAATTCCTTCAAATTACACATATTTAGGATTATAAATGAATCTTTATAGTTAGCAGTAACAATATCCCTTGTGTGGCTCTTTTGAATAAAATTGTGTGACCGAGGTTATTAAGTTCAGTTCTTATATAAGTATCTTAAATACCTGGAAATGTAGACTAACATAGAAAAGAAGTATTGCTGAAGTAGTGTTTTGAGGATAACTACTTTAAAATATGATTGAGATTTAAAAAGGCACAGCTGTCTTTTTTCAGTAGAAATCACATTTATTTATTTATTTATTTATTTATTTATTTATTTATTTATTTGATTTGCCAATTGTTTACAAGATAATAAGTATAAGTGTATACATAGTTGTGAATACATGAAATGGGTACATATAAGAAAAATAAAAGAATAAGAGAAACAATAGGACAGGGACGGTAGGCACGATGGTGCGCTTATGCACGCCCCCTACATTATAGTATAGCTTGTCTTTTGGCCTAAACAAGATACTGAACATTAAAACCACATTGAAAACAAAATTATTTATATCTCATGAAGTGAAATCAAACCATTTTGTTTTGTTCATTTGTTCAATCATTTCTTGCTCTTTGTGGACTAGTGGATCTAATTTCACCAGAAATTTCAGCATCCTGTCTCCTGCCAGCCTCTCTCTTTTATTGCCTTCCATTTTCCAAGCATTACAGCATTTTCCAATTATTACATATATAAAATATTTTATATTCCAATAAGAAATCTGGTTTTATTTCACCTAGTATTCACTTTTTTACCCTGCCCACCTAATCCTAGGAATCTTCAACAATTTTCTCCAGTGTCAGTGAATTTTTGAGCTTAGGAAGAAAAAGTTTGTTATTGTTTTGACTTCTCCATCAATTTGCCATAAATTGTTAGCTGTATATGTACAAGTGTCTGTCTGTGTGTGTGTGTGCATATGTGTGCATATTTTAATATTGAGCAGCCTAATGGATTTTACAATATTTTGTATCCACAACAAAACAGCCCTTTTCTTGCTTACATTTACCGTATTGGTATCATTAGCACATTTGAAAATTTTAAACAGAAACATATCTGCCCACTGAGAAAATGCTCATCAATGCATGATATAACTAAAAAGAATTAGCAACATCAAGAATTAGCAGACTGAAAAGAATGAGCAACTTCCTAAAATATTGAATGGATACTTTTAAAAAGTCTTTTTTTAAAGCCTCTTTCTAAAATAAATTTTAGGGATTTCTTTTTTCATAGAATAAAATCAGGGGCAAAAGTACTGATTATAATATGAGAACCATTTTCTTAGAAGACAAAATGATTGAACATCAAATAAATATAGATGTTACTTATTCTATTCTCCCACTGGGGAAAAATAAACCTCTACCACCAAACAAGCAAAGAATTCAAGAAAAAATAAAATATGGCATGTAAAATAACAAACACAAACACCAATGGGGAGAAATAAATTGCATATCAGTATGTCCTTGATGTTACTAATCATTGCTATTATTGAAATAATTAGTGACATTTTGGTCATTAATTTTAACAATATATACATTTCCATATGTTAGATTCTCAGTACAACATCTGTTTATTCATATTTATTGTGGCCTGCAGAAGCATTCTTTCACAGAAAGAAGAGAGATATTATTAATGATAGCCGAAAATAGTATTGAAAATAAAATGACGCCATATGCTTTATACTGATTATTAAACATTTTAGATCTGAGTTATTAATTATAGCAATCCCCTTGGAAGTCTGTCATTTAAAGCCAAAGCTTGAGTGTATTCTTTCATGGTGCTTAAGCAGAAATTCAACAAAAGCAGCCTCATAAATTTAAGTTTCAATGTTCACTTTTTAGATCTGCTCCATTTCATTGGTTTGCTATATATACCATTTTGCTAGTCCCCTTTGTATTCTGTTCAATATCATGAGATTTCAATAAATATATTAACTGGGCATAAATTTTACCAAAGTAAAAGGAAAGAGCTCCTCTCTGAAGGAGATGGGCAGTTTAAAAATGGGAAAACAAACAATTTATTCTTTATCACTTAAAATTTTTAATCGGAAGAGAATCAAACTACTATGTAACACAATAAATGCAAGAATATGTTGATATAAATGGATTTATATTGACCGCAAACCTGGGACAAGATACAATGCTAAATGTTATTGCTAAAGTGCTTGTGAAGGTAATGTGCTGATCATGATATTCTTAGACAATGTATTTATTTATTGGGAAGGGATGTATATAACGTACAAGGATACATGACAGTTTGGCTTATTATGTTCATGATATCTTCAGTAAAATAGCCAATGAGCTGCCATGGGAAGCCTGTAATAAATCAAGCTTCTCTAGGCTGAATGGATAGGGAGACTTCAGATGGCAAAACATGAAAAAGTGTAGTATTAAAGTGGAGCAAAGAAATGCACGCCAAGGTCATTTGAAGGTAAGTGGGGGATTAATAGAGAGTTGTAAATCCAAATATCTGTCCATTCTGGCATCAGGATGAGTACTGCAGAAAAGATCACTTGAGCCAATCTGTTAGCTGACTTCTTGTAGCTTATTAGTTTACTATTCTTGATCCTGCTTGATCTTTCAATGGTTTCAACATTGTCTAGCACTTTATTCTCTTCAATCCTCTGTGTGAGTTTGGGATTGGAGGCTCCTATTATAATAGTTCCACTCCCAGGAGCAGGGAAACTCAGAGAACGATGCTTCTCCATGCCAGGGCAAAGCCAGTGTCAGAAATGATTATTTTGTTGGGCAATGCCCATGTCAGAATTGATTCAGAAGTGCTTTGGACCTTAACTAAAAAGAAGCACATTTCTCTACTATTCATTAGTGCAGCCTGACTGTTTTTCCCCTCAGGAATTAACTAATAACTTTCACTTTAAAAAAAAAACTTTATCTACTTTATATTCCTTACCTTACTTTGTTCAGGAGTGCCCCTGTCTTTTTCCTGCTCCTTTTGTGAGTCATACTGCTTTGTTTTCTTCCTGGTAATCTCTCCATATGGCTAACAAATGTATGCGTGGTTGGGATATTGGATCATTGTGTCAGCTTTTGTACACCTATTGACCACATATGTATATGCAATGAATCTAAATGCACCATCATCACTGAAATGATGAAATGAATTCCATACCAACTGGAGTTCTGGAACAGGCAGCCTGCAGAAATACCAACCTACTTGTGTGCAGCATGAAGAATATTAAATGTCCCCTTTCTCTGTGTATGCATACTCATGTATGAATGCATGCATATACATAAGGACAAAACATCATGTACACTAAATATTAAAAGTCATAAAGTAGAAGGTTGCCCAGTCACAATTTCCAGAATCCTTCATCATTAACCTTGTTATATGGGACTCAGGAGCTAACATTTAGCAAAAATTGATGATTGCTCTTCCTTTTGTCATTTATTTTTCTGCAATGTTAAGAAGATATATGGATCTATGACTATTGTAAAATGAAACAGTCCAGAGACCCTTTTTAATCTTGTTATCAAAAATAGCATTTTTGAGAGTTGATTCTCAATAAGTGATAGAAGAGAGTTTTCATATACATGGAATGTATGTATTTATAAGTATAGTATATGTATATGCATATACCTGTGTGTGTG